GAACCATATGATATTTTTGGTCCTTCCACCCCGCAGGAATCAAACCTTTGGGTCTGATGGATGTTCGTTTTCTTGCTATTACTGCAAGTTGATTTGCACATTAGTGCAGGCTAGTTATTCATTTCTACAGATAAGTGTACAATTAGGCAATAAAAATATTCCCTCGATTTTTTTATCAATGAAAAATGGCTTTTTTGATGGAAAAGGAATGGCTACACAAAATCTCCCATTTTCATCCAAATACTTCAGGTATTTATCATCAAATGGAAATGCAAACATTTTTGTTTCATACCTCCCCTCTCCTCCTTCCCCGTGCAAATCTGGTTTGAGTTTAGAAAATTGAAAAGTTCTTTTTTGGGGGGAGATTTGACAACCTCCCCTCCTGTGCCCACCACACACACAAAAATCTTAAGAAAAACATATGCTTTTGCTGAAAGATTTCACAAGGGGAAAAAAAATCACCTCCACATTAGGCTAATTGAGAACCAGTAACTTCCATCCCCCCCAGGAAAGTTTTGCTTGCTACTTTCTTATCCATCTCCCTTAAAATAGTCTTATTCCTGAAGGAATGGGATAATTAAGGGGCACAGATAGTATTTCTCACCTTCCCCTCTGCATAGTTCATAGGAATAATTATTTGTGCCATTCGCCAGTGCTAATCGAAGCAACATAGATTCAATCCCAAATTCGTTTCCCTTGAGCGTGACAATATGCAGAGCTATATGCAGGCAGTACACAACGGAACAGCTGTTTAGTACTGTTCATCTGAAACACACTCCGACCAACAAAATAATGGTTCTAATTCAACGGTATGCTAAGGCCTTACTAGAAACATGTCGTAATAGTACCTTGGTAAGATACATCCTGTAGGGGCTTTGGGAGTGGGTAAGAATTAATTTATTATTCACTAACCATTATTCCTAATTGTGTTTGGCTTCACAATCTGCAAGAAGCACATCAAAAGGGACCACCTGATTTTCTGCGTAACACAAACCAGAGACCTGCAAACTTCTCAAACTTCGTTACCCCGCACCCCTCTTCTGGCATCAGATATTACTACCCAGCCCAGAAAGGAGGAACTGAAGCTTCAACAGCTGGAGTCCTGCTGTCCCGGGATTAGGGGGGCAAAGCCAAAAGTTGGGGGCTTTGTTTTCCAAGCAGGGGGCCGGGAATCCTAGTCCCACCACCCAGGGCTGAAGTCCGCTTGGAGACTTTGACTTCAGTACTGAGCCCCCGAAAGTCTAATGGCAGCCCTGGCGACCCCATTAAAACAGGGTCACGATCCCCTTTGGAGACCCATAGCTGGAGAACCGCTGTCCTAAAGCGAAACCTTTAGAAAAAACATTCAGCTCTCCATTAACTCCACTGTGTTCTTGTACATGGTGTTTTATATTATGATGCTTCCAGTCCTGCATCCTTTGCTCATGTGGTAAGAGTTGAAGGACTGGGCCTTTGATTATTACTGCATTATTATTTCAACAGCAATTCCACGTGGACGCTCTACTGAAACTGCTGTGCTTTTATACTGTCCGATTTCAAAGGCCGGGATTCTATTCCGGAAGCGAGCTAAAACGCAGGGAGAACTGTGCAGTTCACCAATGGGGTGGCTGAACTGAAAAAATTAAAATAAATTAACAAAATCATTTGGGGTTGAGCGGAACATTTTTATTTTTGTTTATTTATTTGGTGAAGCAAAAAACATCAGAAACATTTTACTTTGAGATGGCTAAAATATGTGATTTGACCGCTCAACAAAAACATTTGGGGTTTTTTTGTAAGCCTTCTTAAAAATATAATTAAAGTTAAATTTGAAGCACCAGGCTGATTTGAAACACAAAAGGCAAAGCATTTCAATTTAAAAAAATGTAGAAACAAAACTTTTTGACTTGCTTAGAATGTATTGGTTTGGTTTTTTTGACTGGGGCAATTTTGCAATTCCAGCTCAGACTTTCGGTCCACCCAGATCTGCATTTTTCTGCTAAAAAGAGTTGCAGCAGAAAACAACATTGCAGGTCATATAACAATGTGTACGGCTTCAGGACGGTGCAAATAATTATGGAGATGCTGGTAGAAATGCTATTGTTAAGGCTAGATTTGTTTTTTCAGTTAAAGCGGAGTTTAAGTAAGTTTGTTAGGAATGTAAACAGAGGTTAATTGTAGGCGTAATTAATCCAAACTCTCCTAGGGATAATATTTCATTTTACAAGTAAATCTTTTTAATTGTTTTAAGTTGGAAGCAATCAAAAATAGGCTCTTTTGAAACATGGAGTTTAACTCTTTTGATCCTTCTAAATTAAGAAACAGCTTCAGTTTTAAACGTTAGACTGTAGACAGATTTCAAACTAAACCTACCTTTTTTTTTAAAAGAAAAACATTCTTTGTATTATAGTAATAGAGATGTAGCCATGCATAGTCCTGTCTTTTGTTTCATTATTTGTATTATTCCTCTTAGCCATTTCTAGTTACACTACAAGCCGAGGCGGAATAAAAATGACGCAAGCCAACGGTAATATTTGCGATTTTCTGCATTAAATCACAGGCCTATTGGAATGATCATTGGAGAGGGGAATACAGATGACCCTCATCGACGCGAAACAGGGATGAGTGGTTTGGGCGGGATACGCATTTGCAGATGTTCTGTTTGTCCTCAGTGGGAGGGGAATGTTTCAAGGGGGAGATGTAAAGACCCAGCCAACCCATTACAACTTTTTCTCAAGTTGGGTCTCCCAGGAGAAGAGAAGCCCATTATTCACCCAGCCTACTACTGGCACAGATCTTTGGAGAACGTCTCCTGTGAAGGAGCTGCCCTTCCCACTGCCCCCTTCTCAGTAGGCCTGATCCAACTCTTTCCAGTAACTGAAACGGGAGCTGTGCTGGACCCCCAAAAGTTGTAAGGAGGGACTTGCCTACTCTCTAACGGTCTCTTCCCCAATATTCAGCTTCTAGGATGAATGTGGAAGCCAGAGTTGAGTAAATCCAGGTGCTCCAACCTCAGGGAGGCACACAAACCTGCCCCTGGGGCCATGGCGACACTGTAAACTTGGGTCAACCCAAGTTATGCCAACGTTGAGCGGCCGCAATTGGCACATCACTTATGGGCACGCAGACTTGGCTCCTCATGTCGGCCCTGCCTGTACTCACCAGGAAGGCTTGTGTCCCTGCACAACGTGGTGCATCATGGGTAGGAATCCCCGTGTGCAACTCACCACTCGTCCGTGCACGGGCTTTTGGGAGGTTTCAGCCAGGCATGGTGGGGCAGAAAGAAGTCACGCAGGCGCGACTGGAAGCAAGGGGCCAGCCGCCCAGCATGCAGCTAGCGCCAGCCCATCACACCAGCGACAGCCCATCATTTTCACATCTGCTTGGCACGACTCAGGCCTGGTGCCTTCACAGCGCTGCACATTGCCAACACAGGAGGCACAATCCTCTGGCATTTGCAAGAGCCAAGTCTGCAGGGCACACGAGGATTTCCTGGAGGCCAGGTTGCTGAGGGACCTTCTGAGAACCCACGCCAGGTTGGTGGTGGTGATCCCGGAGCAGCTGCAGATGGTAGAATGCCCCTTCTCGGGGGGGGAGGAGCGGGGAGAGGAAGGAGCCATTGTAATGCTGGTCGGAGGTGCCTAGTGGAGGCTGCAGGACTTGTGGATGCACCAGGCGACCTTCCTAGACATGTGTGCCAACTCAGCCCAGCCACGGAGGGCCAGCGTGGAGCGTGGATTGCTGCGCGGAGCGTGGAGAAGACAGGGGTGATCACACTGTGGACACTTGCACGGCCAAATTGCTGTCGGCCGATGGCAAATCATGTTGAACCTGGAAAATCCACGGTGGGGGCAGTTATCACACACTCATATAGGACCAATAATCATCGATGCAGGACTGTGGCTCTCAGCAACAGGCAGGACATAGTGGGTGGATTAGCATCCAGGGGGTTCCCAAACGGTGCGGTAACCATAGATGGTATGTATATCCCCATTTTGGCACCAGTCTAGCTAGTTTTCTATGGCCACATAAGCATTGGTGCATCACAGAGGATGCTCCACCGACATAAGCATTGGCCGGACAGGGAAGGTGCATGGAGCACGCATCTCTAAGCGCACAGGACTGCCGAGAAAGCTAAAAGTAATTGGCTTCTTTTCCAACCGGAGGCTTTCCATGAGTGATGTAGAAATGCCCAAAGTGATCCTGCTCCTTTGCTCCCGACTCACGGATTCGTACACCAACAGCACCAAGGAATGATTCAACGGCTGGCTCAGCAGGGGCAGAAGGACAGTTCAATGCACTTTTGGTCAACTGAAGGCTTGCTGACGAGGTTTGCTCACCAGAACGGACCTCAGTGCAAAACCATATTGCCATCGTTACAGCTGTCTGCTGTGTGTCCTGCATAATATCTTCGAAGCCATGGGAGAGGAGGCAGTTGAGGGCCATGGTGAAATAATCTGTTGAGTTTGAACAGCTGGGCACAAGGACGATTTCAAAAGCTCCGCACAAAGCTATCTTCTCCGGGAAGTTTTGAAAAACCACTTTAACGTTTTATTCAGTAACAAAACCAGCACAAAGAAAAAAAAAAAAAGCTTTGCAACTGAAAAGCAAATACACGACAAACTTACTAAATTAATTCAATCGAACAGGAGGGGAAACGTATGTAGACGAAATGTATGTAAACATCTCACTGATCAGTGTACGGGAAGCCACGGGGGCCTTAACAGCCCCAGGGATACACTGGTAAAGGTGGGGAGGCGGTGGGGAGGAACGTGGAGAGGGGTGTCGGGAGGTGCTAAAACAGAATTCTTCTTGGATTACGAAGAGTGGCGAACTGGGGGTTGCTCCCGCGGTAGGTCCACCAGAGTCTGCAGCATCCGGGTTTGCTTGCAGAGAAGCCCCATTATGTCCTGGTGCATCTCCCACTCTTTTTCCTGTTGGGACTCCTGTGCTGTCCACGCTCTTTCCTTCTCCAGCCCATCTGCAATGCTCACCCTCCGGGACCTTCGCTCATGGCCTGATGCAGCACCGGTCTGCAGGACCTCTCTGAACACGCCATCCTGCACCCTGGCCTGCAGGACCGCTCTGAACACGCCATCCTGCACCCTGGCCTGCAGGACCGCTCTGAACACGCCATCCTGCACCCTGGCCTGCAGGACCGCTCTGAACACGCCATCCTGCACCCTGGCCTGCAGGACCGCTCTGAACACGCCATCCTGCACCCTGGCCTGCAGGACCGCTCTGAACACGCCATCCTGCACCCTGGCCTGCAGGACCGCTCTGAACACGCCATCCTGCACCCTGGCCTGCAGGACCGCTCTGAACACGCCATCCTGCACCCTGGCCTGCAGGACCGCTCTGAACACGCCATCCTGCACCCTGGCCTGCAGGACCGCTCTGAACACGCCATCCTGCACCCTGGCCTGCAGGACCGCTCTGAACACGCCATCCTGCACCCTGGCCTGCAGGACCGCTCTGAACACGCCATCCTGCACCCTGGCCTGCAGGACCGCTCTGAACACGCCATCCTGCACCCTGGCCTGCAGGACCGCTCTGAACACGCCATCCTGCACCCTGGCCTGCAGGACCGCTCTGAACACGCCATCCTGCACCCTGGCCTGCAGGACCGCTCTGAACACGCCATCCTGCACCCTGGCCTGCAGGACCGCTCTGAACACGCCATCCTGCACCCTGGCCTGCAGGACCGCTCTGAACACGCCATCCTGCACCCTGGCCTGCAGGACCGCTCTGAACACGCCATCCTGCACCCTGGCCTGCAGGACCGCTCTGAACACGCCATCCTGCACCCTGGCCTGCAGGACCGCTCTGAACACGCCATCCTGCACCCTGGCCTGCAGGACCGCTCTGAACACGCCATCCTGCACCCTGGCCTGCAGGACCGCTCTGAACACGCCATCCTGCACCCTGGCCTGCAGGACCGCTCTGAACACGCCATCCTGCACCCTGGCCTGCAGGACCTCTCTGAACACGCCATCCCACACCCTCTTCTTCCTCTGACTCAAGCAGAGGAGGAACCCCTCAAGGTCACAACGGCGGCAGCTGCAGATCAAACCAAGTAACGTTGTCAGTGGGGTCCGAATGGGAAGGGAAAGTTGAGAACCGGAACTCCCAAGTTCGGAACCAGATGGGTCCATTAATGGAAAGTCGATAACCGTGTCCTAAGTCAAGTCAGGGGTGGGCAAAAACTGGCCCACGGCTGGATCCGGTGCACCGTGGCGGGCCCCCACTGTTAGATTTACCTGCGACTCCACAGGTAATGGGCAATCACAGCTCTCATTGGCTGCGGATCGCCGTTCCCGGCCAATGGGAGTGGTATGGCTCACCCCTGTGTTTAGTTGCAGGCACCATTCATTGAGGTGGGAAAGAATTGCACTTTCCGGAGGTGCTTCCCCCTGGATCGGGCTCCCCCACGGCCGCATCTCAAAGGAGTCTGGGCTGCAGGAACAGCAGGAGCCCCCGGTCACATGCCCTCTGTGCTCCTCCACTTCCTCGTCCAGCTCCTCGTCTTTGCTTTTCAGGCCCGGGCCTGGGACACGGGCGCCTTGGAGATAGCCTGGGGAGGGGGGGTCTCCCCCAAGAACGACCGCAGCTCTTTCTAGCTCAACAGGAGAGCGACCGCCTGCCTGGGCCTCTGATCTGCCTGCCCCAAGGCCATGGCTTCTCTGCAGCCCTGCCGGAGCCCTTCTCCGGTCTCTGCTGCGCCATCTGCTCAGAGATGTCCAGGTCTCTCCGGCGGGTCTGTAGCCTCTTCTTCCCACACGCCCAGGAGAGCCAGTAACTCCTGCCTTCTACAGGCCAGAGCGCAGCTGGAGCATGCAGCCAACATGATCAGCTGGGCAGTGGCCCCCAGAGGGAGGGAAGAGGGAGAGGGGGCAACTGCCTGGCACTCCCAGCCTTTGCTGGTGCTGCTACACACGATACAGAGCGGGGAGCTGCTCCTCCAATGGGACAACCCGGAACAGGCTTTTCAAAGCTGGGTGGGGCTTTCCAAGGGAGGGCTCCTTCCGGTCCCTGCCACCCTGGGCAGTGGAGCTCCCAACTGTGGCCAGAGCGGTCCGGGTCAGGCACTGTGGGATAGCGGCTGGAGGACTGATTGGAGAGACAGAAGTAACACGGTGGTTACATTCCGGCTGCGCCCACTCCAGGGCATTAACCTGGCTCAGCGCGGTTCAGGGACACATGAATGCGACCCCAGAATGGGAGGCAGAATTCAATGTCGACGCAGGCACAACTCAATCAGCGCCCGGCAGCTCCTGTCGCTCTGACTGGCAGCCTACACCAGGCCTCGGTCAGATCTGAAAATCAGCCAGCCGCACCAGCTCAGAGACCCCCGACCAGGAGAAAAGGGCAGCCCGGAAGCTCAGGTCTCTAGAATCAACACGTCACCCTATCAGCTGTGTTAGTTTAACGGCGTTTCCTTTGGATTGAAGGGCAAGAAACCCCAAAGGCGGGGGTGGGGGGTTTCCCCAAGACCCCCTCCCCTCCTGTGTGGTTTGACTCAGCAAAACACTGGTTCAGGGATGGAGACACTGAGATAAGTATCCGCCACTTCCTGTGCTTTGAAATCTGCTGATGAGACGGGCCCAAGCAGAGGGTCCATCCAATTAATCCCAACCCAGCGTTGGTTGCTGGGCGGAAGGATCAGAGCGGCTGGGGGTGCCTGCTGGCTGACTTCTGGCTCTCAGCCGGGACTCGGCACCGCACGATTGCTGGTGGCAGTCGCAGCCCCTCTCCTCAGCGAAACCCAACAGAACACGCGCCGGCGACGCAATCCCTTGGGCTCTCGCGAGCGGACGAGCACTGGGCCCTCCGGGAAGCGCCGGCCCAGGACAACGAGGACCCTGCAAATTCCCCCCGATCCGCTGGGGTCTCACAGCTCATGTCTGCGGCCGGGGCTACGCGTTTTGCGTCTGGACCTCTGCAAATTTGCGGAGAGGCGCTTGGTAGCTGCAGCCCTGGCTGGGCATCTTCGGGGATCATTTTTGGCAGATGCCCATACCAAATTTGTGCCCGTGCTGGAGTCCAGCAGCTGCCTTCCCCCTCTCCAGGGAAAGAAAGACCCGGTTTGGCTTTGCCAGCAGGTTTCAGCCCAGCCTAGCCTAGAGACGCTCCAGGCTTGATCCAAAGGTTGGAGGAGCAACCAGTGACAGAGAAGCCCAATTTTTGGAGGGGGGGGAGGGCGAATATAGCCACACGGCGCAGCAAGGGCCTGGAAATGTCTTCAAGGCAGGCGCCTTCTCCTGCCAGTGAGTTGAATTTATCCGACGGGGACTTGGGCACAAACTTTTGATTTCTGGCATGGGGGGGAGGAGGCCAACATTCAGTGGTTTTTTTCAAGCTGGGGGGAAGGTTTCAGGAAAGCCGAAGGGATTCTGGAGCACTAGCCACGGGCTTGCGCCCCTAAACCCCTCAGAGCATGTGAAGAGCCGCAGTCTCCTTGGACACCCCAAACGGTCTTCAGGGCTCCCCAAAGCGCCTTACTCAGGGCTGCTCACAGTCCTCCCCACGGAGATTTTGGGGTGGGTACGGTCTGCGGGATCGGGCCCCCAGTGGGGAGTTGGTTTCTTTTGGAAGTGGCCCTGTTTCCCCCGAAATCCAGATCGACACACGCACAGCGACCCCTGGGGAGCGAACGAGCCAAGTGGAGCGGGGGCGGCTTTCCACACCGCCCGCCAGGCGTTTGCTGGAGACCTGTCTTCGAAACAGTCCCCCCCCCCCC